AAAAAAATAATAACAAAAAAAAATATCTAAAAATAATTGATTTAATTCAATATTTAAAAGTATAAAATGGAAAAAGTTCCTTTTAATAATATAACTTTATAATTTAACAAAAATAAGATCTAAACAGCATATATTGAAAATTATATTAATTAATTTTAAACATTTATATAATTTTACATATTTACAATTATAATTCATTCATTTACAGTTGGTTTGTTTTTCTATGTAAAATTTAATAATATTAATGCTTTTTTATTCTTGCTTACATTTAGTATAATATTAACTTTTTTACTATTATTACTTCCTAAAAATTATAATTTAGTTATAAAAATTATTTTTATAATAATATTAATTTATGAAGTAGTTATAGTAGAAATAATGATAGTTATGTAAAAAAATATTTAATACTGTATATAAGATGAAAAAGAGTACTTTTTTCTTACAGGTATATTATTAATGTCAACTTTTTGTATATTTTCTTAAATTTTTAATAATTGGTATTAGAGATATATAATTTTATATTTTGGAATGACATACTCTATAATTAGAACAAACGGATATAAAGATATTTTATAAAATTGTCCCATTTATTATATTTCTACTATCATATTATTAATAAAATATTATTATTAAGAGAGATATGAAAAGCTTAGCTATTATAACCTTTACAAGAAAGTTAAACAAAATAAATTCTTTAAAAAACTCTTAGAAAAAAATATTCCTTAGTCTATGATAATACTTAAATCACTGTAAAATAAAAATATAAAAAAATCTAAAAATATAGATTAAGAATATAGTATTTTAAATAGTATTGATATTTTATTTGCTAATGATCATTCTAAAAATAAATTTAAAATTTAAAATAATCAATAATTAAAACTATGCATGAATAATATATTTTCTTATGGATCAATAAAATAGATAGATAATTTGTATAAAATAAATATATAAATATAAATATAAAAATAATATATATATATATATATATATTTAATATAAATAATTTAATTTTTATATATTTATATATATATATATATACAATATATTATTAATTTTTAATATATTATTTTTTTATTTATTCATTTTATTTAATTATTATATCACATATATTTTTTTTAATTTTTAATTTTATATTTTTTTAATTTATATATATTATATTTTTTTTAAATCAGTGAAAATTAAACTACAAGCCTTTACTATAAAGAGAGTAATAGATCTCATAATTATAAATATAGATCAATTTTAGAATTTGTATATGAATATAATGAAAATTTTAAACTAAAAAAAACATTTTAGGAAATAAAAATTGGTTCTATTGATAACATAAAAGCTGGCTCAATTGATAACATAAAAATTGACGAAGAAGTTCATTTAAACTGTATTTATAAAAAAAATATATTTAAGTCAGTTCACGAATCCCTAAATTTTTCTGCTGCTATTAATTCAACTCTTTTTAAAAAACAATTAAAATACTTAAAAAATACCAGATTCGATATTAAAATAGTAAAATGTAAATGGGAAAATGAAGAAGCAGTAATGGTTTTGATAAGTGATATTAGTTAAAAAGTCTATATTGAAAGAATTAATTAAATATAAGAATATAAAAATTAAATGCTTTCTTCAATAACTCATAATTTAAAAACTCCTCTAAATGGAATTATGGTCATGTTATAATCTGCTTTAGCTAGCAATAAATCAAAATCGATTTAAGAATAATTAACCTTAGGCCTTAAAAACAGTAAATTATTACTTTTTATGATAAATGATTTATTAGACTATTCAAGAATGTAAAGATATAAATCTTTTGATTTAAGTTTTTCTAAATTTAATATTAATGATGTTTTGAGCGAAGTATAGAATTTATTATAAATCTAAATTGATTAAAAAAGACTTTCTTTTTAAATTGATGTATAGCTTTCTGAATAATAAAAAGTTATTGTAAATGATAGACTGAGATTAGAATAAATACTCTTAAATTTTATTTAAAATTCTATTAAATTTACACTTTAAGGATTTATTAAAGTTAAAGTTTTCTAAATACCTTAAAAACCTAATTAAGTTTTCATTACTATTGAAGATAGTGGAATAGGAATATCTGATAGTAGAAAATAAAATTTATTTAAAATATATGGAAATGCTCTATTTAGTTAAAAAACTTAAAAACATGGCAATTAAATTCTAAATTATTTATTTATTTTTTAATAATAATAAAATAAAAATAGGTGTAGGCTTAGGTTTAGCTGTATGTAAAAAACTAATAAATTAATTAGGAGAAAAAAACTCTATAGCATTAGAAAGCTATAAAAAATAAGGTTCTAAGTTTACATTTAGTATATATAGAAAACATCCAAAAGACAAGAAATATATGATGAATATATTTACACGGGCATCCCTTTATGATATTGAAAATACATAAGAAAAAAGAAAAACTTATGTAAATTACAGTCTTTAATCAAACCTAATTAATAAATATGATAATTCATTAAATAAATACTTATTTAATTCTTCCTCATCTACAATATCAGAACATAAGAAATAAATAAACTTGCCTAAATCATATGAAATTCACCATTGTTGTGATTTATATAGCAACTAAGATTGCAATAATTAAATTGTTAGTATTAAAACAACAAATTAAGGGCTTTCGCCTGAAGATATTTTTACAGAAAAAAAAAATTGTATACTTTCCACTGGTAGCTCTAGTGCTACTTTTTAACATATTTAAGATCCTATTTTGGAATTAAAACGTATATTTTTTAAAAAAACTAAAATTCTTATTGTTGATGATGTTAGTTTTAATATTATTTCTTTTAAGTTTTTACTTAAACCTTTTATTAATTTAATCATTGATGAAGCTTATAATGGATAATAGGCCATTGAAAAAGTTTTATAAAACAAAAATTATGATTATATTTTTATGGATATTAATATGCCTGTAGTTGATGGATTTTAAGCTACTTAAAGAATTAAAGAATTGGTTGATTAAAAAATTATTTAGCCTACTAATATTATTATGGTTTCAGCATTTAATGATTAATATGATATCGAAAAAAGCTTCAAAATGGGAGCTTAAGAATATGTTTCTAAACCTATTTATATTTCTAATATTTTATCCGCTATATAAAGAATATAGAAGGCAAATTTAAAATTTTGATAGGCTTTTTTTATTATTATTTTTTACTTTGATAAAAAGTTTAATATTTTAAAGTTTTAAAATTCTTTTTGGTATTTCAGTGTGGAAAGAGTATTTTCGGTTATATTTAAAAGATAGTATAAAATGTAAATATTAAGATAAATTAAATTTGTCATAATTAATAAATTTAAATTTAATATATTATCTATATAATTGCATATTTATTTTTTTTAATTGAACTAATATATTTTCTTTTTTTTTGTCTTTTTTATATAATATTAGAAATTCTATTTTATTTTTGTTTAGTTTAATGAATTAATTAGTATATTTTATTTAATTATTTTGAATATAAAAATTAAAATAAATAAATTTTTTAAAATAAATTTAAATATTTATTTTAAAATTCGTAAACTAAATTTAAAGCAAAAATTAGTATTTTTTTACAAATTAATATTTAATAATTACCTTATTTATTATTGTAAATTAAATAAATAACTTAAAATAATAAAAAAAACAGAAAAATCAATAATAATTATTTTTTCCAAAAAGAGCTTCTGCTTATTATTACTCCCATCCTTAAAGTAAAAGATATTGATTTTAAATGATAAATATATATATAAATATATTAATTACTAAAGATATATACTTAAATAATTTTAACAAACCATAGTAAAATAAGCAAAAGTACAGCTTCTACAATTGCTTAAAACATATACAAATCTTAAACATAAATAGTTTTACAATAGCAATTATCAGAATCTTAAGTTATATAATGGTTCATAGTATCATACATGACTACATAGATAACAATTCTTGATAAAAAGGCAATGATTAATAATATAAAAAATATATTTATTTTTCTAGCAGACCTAGATCTAATAAAAAAAAAGCCAATAATACTGATTAAAACCCAAAAAGCATTAGCTAACATATAATAAATCATTACCATAGAATAATCAGAACAAATATTTTCATAATAAAATACATAATAAAAATTTTTTAAACTTTCATATGTAAGCATAAACTAAATAATTTTACATTAATTTTTTTTTTTTTTTACTGTTATAAATGCATTTGCAGCTTATGTAAAACTAACTTTTGTTTCTACAATTTAATCAAAAGAAGGGTCATCTTATGGAATTAATGTATCTTCCCTTTTTCCTCTTATAATAAACGGTCTATTAGCTTTTGAATCAGATTAAGGAGAACCATAGTTCATTTTTGTTTTGTAGATTTTTTTATTTTATAAAGTAAATTTATTTATTTATTTATTTTTTAAAAAAATTTAAATATATAAATGTAAAATATATATATAATAAATAATAAATAGTAAATATATATATATAAAAAAAAATAGTGAAATTATTTAATTTTTTATTTAAGAAAAAACTAAAAAAAAAAACTAAAAATATTATATTTTATTTATAATAATTATTTCAGATATAAACTTCTTCGAAAAATATTTTGTATTTTTTAAAATATTGTTTTTTAGCTAATTCAGTTGGAATCTTTTATTCAAAAAAATAATTTAAACCAATAATCCAACCTGTAACTAAAAATAAGCACGAAACAGCTTTTTTCGAAAAATTTATAATTCTATATTTATGTTTCTTATTATAAAAATTGTAAAAAAATGCACTTTTTCTAAAAAAAAGACTATAAATCCCTAAAGAAAACGCACTCATTCCACATGCCCAATAAAACTATTTAGCTTTTTCATTCATAATAATGTATTAAATATCTTCATTATCTCTCATCAATAATCCAGGATGATTTAATAATTATTTTAATTTATCTTTTTCATCAATATCTAACCAATATTTCCAATATTCGTCTAATAATAATTTATCACTAATTTTTTTATTTTAAGGAATTTTCCCTTATTCTTTTTTAAGTTAAATAATTTATTCTAATTACTATTTATAAATTAAATTAAATTTCCATTAAAAAGCGAATTATTCGGAATCATTTAATTCATTTATTTATAGCTAATTTTAAAAATTAGAATAATGTAATGATTTTTGCTTTTCAAAATAACTCATTAAGATTTTGATAATTTAAATAAATATATATTATTATAAAAAAAAAAATTAATTAATAAAAATAATAAAAAATGAATATTGAAATGAAATATATTTATCTAAATAATTTAACTATTAAGAAAAAAAAAAAAAAAAAAACTTAATATATATAATAAATATATATTAAATAAACTTTTATTTTATAATGATAATATATTATTTCAAAGATTAAATTATTTTTTATTCAAATTTATTAATATGTTTTATTTTTATTTATTTTATAATTAATCAATTATTATTATATAAACATAATTAAAAAAATAAATTAATAAAAAGTATTCAAAATAAAAAAATATAATGCAATAATAAAAATAGAGAATTAAATATAATTACTAATTTTATTTATAAATAAATAATAATTTATATATATATATATATATATATATATATTATAATAATATATATATATATATATTTATATAAATATATTATATTTGTATACATATATTTAATACATATAAATTTCAATTTTATTTACTCTATAAACGACTATTTATTAAAGCATTAATTTCAGCTTACAATCTAATTTCATCTGTGATTTTTTACGATCTTCTAAGTTCTGACTATAATAATAAATCATTAGCTATTTTTTGAGATCTTCTTATATTGTCTAATTCATTTAAATTTTAAATTTCTTATTTTAAAATTTCTTATTTTCTAAATGTTTCCAATTCTTTTTATAATTATTCTCTTTTTTACTAATTAAATTCATTTTAAGCTTTTATTAAATTAAGTTCAGCTTAAAGTTTCTCTTCTTCCAATTTTCTATCATTTTCATATTGCTATCTTAATTCTTCTTATAACTTTAATTTAGCTTCAAATCTATCTTATTCTTCTTTTAATTCAGCTTCGTATTTTTGTCTAAGTTCTTCTTCTAATTTAGCATTTATTTCTTATTATTTTTACAATTAAGCTTCTAATTCTGCCTTTCTGGCATAATCGGCCTCTTAAATTGCAATAAGTTCGTCTCTTAAACGGATTTCTTCGGCAATTAATTGATCTTTTCTTTATTATTCAGATAATGTTAGTTAAGATCTGATTAATTCAGAATTTTTTAATGCTTAGATTTCATTTTAAATGAGAAGTTCACGAGCATAAGGAGAATTATAAACGTAAGGAAATCTTTAAGAATAATTTAATTATTTCAATCTTTGGTAATCTAAATCATTTTATAATCTAGCAGCTTCAGATTAAAGAAGGGCATTTCGGTAATTTTAATCTTTTAAATATTAAGAATAAGCTATAGAACTATTTGGAATATATGAATTGTATAATAAACTAGACATCTTTTTTTATATATATTATATCTGTATTTTTATTGTAAATATATATTTTTTTTTAAATAATTATTATTTAATTTAAGGTTTTTTTTTAATTTTTATTATTTTATTAATATATATATATATATAAATATATTTTATATTTATTTTATTTTATTTACTTTTTTTTAGCTCTTATTATTTTTAATACTTTTTTTTTATTTAACATTTGTTATTTCAAACTAGTTTAAATCAATGTTATTTAATATTTTTTACCATAAAAATATTAATTAATTTTCTAATAGAAAAAAGATTTTTTTATAATATATTTATAGATTATAAATTATATATATTTTTTAATTGTTCTTTTTAAATATTTGTAATTTTAAAAAATTTAATATTTATTTAGATATTATCAAAAATTATGATAAAAAAAAAAAAAATGATAAAATACATAGATATATATATATATTAATTTTTTTATATATAAATAATAATAATATTTAAATTATTTGTTTTTCTTTAAAATATTTTCATAATAAATGTTTTTTTTTTTTCTTCTAAAAATGTTTAAGTTTATTTAAATTATTTTTTCAAAAAAAGAAAAATATATAAATATATTTAAATTTTATAGATTAATATATATAAAATAAATTAATCCACCAACTTTATATTAAAAACTAGGTAATACTAAAAAATACATAAAAAAAAAAATTCAACTTTTCTAAAAATATTATAATTTATGTTTATAAACATCCAATAAAAACTTATAATTCACCATTTTTTAACTATTAACTGCAAAATTGACTAAAACTTCCCATTAATCTTCCTAAATAGAAAATCCCTATTTTTAATTCAAGAATTCTATCATAATATTTTTTATTTTTTCTAATGGTAATTCTTATTTTCCATCTTTGTCTTCTTCAAAAAATTTTTAAAATAAAGTTTTTCTATTTTTTCCTATACAAAAACACACATTATTATATGCATTTGTGTTTTCCCATTTATGGGAATCGAAATTATTTCTACAGTAATAATCATTTAAATTTTATACACAAACACCTTATTATTTTTTTATTTTTTTAAAACAATATTCTCTTATCCACTTGAATATTTCATAAAACAACACATCCATTCATCTAAATCAATAACTCCGTCTTATTTAGAATCAAAAAATTCAAAAAGATCTTCTAAAAGAGACTCTGCTTCTAAATTACCTTCCAATTTATTAATTTAATTCATAAAATTTAAAAAGTCATTTTTATCCATATATCCTTTTTTCTCCTTATCAAATTACAAAAATGCATCTTTCGGAGAAGCCATGTATGTATACAAAGCTTTTTTTAAAATATTTATCCTTTAAGAACATCTTTATTATATAGTTTACTATATGGGAGATATTTTAAGTCTTTCTATTAATTGCTTATAATTACAATTTAATTAATTTTCAGGATCAGCGTATTTAATTATTTAATAAATGTCCTATGTAGTGATCCCCAAATTAAGTTTTAAAAGAATATTTTTTAGTTGAATATTACTTATTATTCCTGTATCTTAAGGATCAGCAAGTTAACACATTTTAAGAATATTTTTTTTGTTTGTAATTAAATATTAACATAACATTTCAAGTGTTTCTGAACCTAAAATAGAGAAAAATTTAGTACTTTTTTTTAACTAATTATTTGTATTGATATGAGTTCTTAAGGAATTACTTCTATATGGAATATTATTAATTTTTTATATTTAAAAGTATTAATAAAATGATTATTATTGTTATTATTATTATTATTATTATTATTATTATTATTATTATTATTACAATTATTATTACTTATCTTTTAAATTAAATATTTTACAAAACTATTCAAAATTTATTTATTTATTATTATAATTCTCTTTTATATTTATTTTTTAAAGTAACTATTTCCAAATATTTTAGCATTTTTTATTATTCGACATATTTATCGGGAACAACTATTACATTTTTTTTTCAAAAAACTCAAAAGAAATATAATTATTTCCAAATGAGAATTCTTTGAAAAATTCTTATGAATTAATAATAAAATTATATTAATTAGAATTTTCTAATACATCTTTTTTTATTTTACTTTAATTATAACATTCTTTAATTTATTTAACATATATCTCGTATTCATTAGAAAATCCCTTAATTGCATTTTTCCAATCATTTGAAGTTATATAACCTTTTTTATGTACATCAAAATGTGCAAAAAGTCTTTATAATAGTTCTTAAGTTAAATTAAATCCACTTAAAACATTACAACTATCAACCCATTATTTAAATTGTGTAAAATTTACTGTATTTTGAAAATTGGAAACTATATTAAATTAATCTTCTGGTTCTTTTTATTTCGAAAAAAAGATTACGATTTCTTACACGCAATCTTTTAGCCAACCATTTTATTATTATTCGGAAAAATTATCATCTATAAAATCACCAAAATCTTAAATATTGACTGATTTTTTTTTATATTTATCAATTAATTTATATAATCTATCAATCCCAGAACTTTCCATATTATTTATTTATAATTTTTCCTTAATAAAAAAACTCAAATCTTCCTTAGAGATAATCCCGTCGAAATCCTTATCGATAATTCTAAAAGCTTCCACTATACTCAGTTTTTCTTTTTTTATCCATTAAATAATTTTATAAATAGCCTATTCTTATTCACTAAAACTATCTTAAGTATCCTCTTTTGTTTCCATTTCTTTTCTAGCAAAAACTTAATGCCACCTCTAATAATCAAACATTCCAATTTATAAATTATCCATATATGAAAACAGGCCATTTTTGGCAATTGTGCATAATTAAATATTTAATTTAGTTTCTAAATTTTCCAAAAACTCGCTTATAGTAACAAAACCATCATTATTGCTATCCAAAAGCTTAAAAGCATTAAAAAGATTTAATTTTTTTATAATAATCTATTACTTTATTTACTTTATCATATTTTAAAGTTATTTAATATCAGTTTTTTTTTTTGGAAAAGTGGCCAAATCTTTATTCTCATTTATATATTGATATCTTTTAATAAAAGTTTCAAGATCATATTTATCAATATAACCATCTTTATCAATATCTATAAGATCTACATTATGAAAAATCTAATTATCATTAAATGGAAAAATATACTATTCGCAATATTTAGCAAAATTCTATGTTGAAATAGCCCCTTTTTTAGAATTTTTGATATTATTTAAGAAATTTTAAATATCGTTTTTATATTCCTTTTTTATATGAGTACATATTTTTTTCTATATATATTCCAAAGTTTCATTTTATGTATTTGATTTATGCGAATATTTAATTTTTTTAATAAAATCTTAATAGTCAATTTCATGATTTTTTTATTATAAAGAATTTGTTATTTTTTCTATATCTTATAAATTTATATTCAAACCACTTTATAAAAGACAAGTTTTAAAATTTGCTATATCTAACATTCCTTTAAGATTTACATCCACATTTTCAAATTTTTACAATAATTTGTTTATATTATTATTATTTTATTATGTATTTTCTTCTTTTTATTCATTATATATTTTCTTGTATATTTATTAAATCTAATCTTGTAGTAAAAGTTACCTTTTTTCTTCATCTTCTTCATTATTTTGTGGGATTTTAAAGTATTTTTCAAATTCTTTTATTTGTAATTCCTTTTCTCCTTCTGTCAAAATAAACTATCTGCAAATTCTCTAAGCCTCTAGTTTACTACAACACAGTAAATTTTTAAGTCCTTCAATTATTTAAGATTCTAATATAATATCTTATCCTCTATCTATATTCATTCTTATGAAAACCTCATCTAAAGAATATTTATGACTTTTAATAGCTTATTGAATATCATATATTTAAGAATCTTATTTTATTTTTATATTGATTTAAAAAATATTATTTTACTTTTAAAAGAAAAATGAGTTTTCCAATCATAAAAATCTATAAAACCATCTTTTCCTACATCAATAATATTAAAAAGTATCTATAAATCATTTTTTCCTTATAGATCATAATTAAACTATTATAAAGCCTTTTTAAAATTTTACTCATTAATTCTACATTTCCTATTTCCTTCTTTCCCAAAGATTTAGGAAATAAATTTTAAATAAGAATCTTCTGACTTCATTTAAAAGGATTAAATAAAATTTTTAAAATTATCAAATATTTTTAAGTTATTATCTTAAGTTTTTTTCGATATATAAGCTTTAGAAACTACCGAATCACATAAAAGATTATTATTTTTTTGAAAATCTGTAGTCTTTATGGACATTACATCAGGTGTCTTTGCGTATAATTTTTTATGCTTCCAGTCTTTATCAAAATCAATATTTAAATTTTAATTTAGCCATTCTTTCGCGTTGTCGCTAATTTTCGTTATAGAATTAAGTTTTTATTATTAAGAAAATGAGTCCATTTTTTCTCTAGTTAAATTAGTTGCCCTATGTTTTCTTTGTTACATAGTTTAAGAAAAAATTCCTTATACATATTACGATAGATATTCATTAAAATATACTCCACAAAGCCCATTTCGAAAAATAAAAGTACCAATACAGGGTAATTCGATTACTAAACTTTCATTTTACTATGTATTTTTTACCATATTTTCAAGTTTTTGTCTTATCCTTGTTATTCCTAATTATGCTTAATCTTTTGTTGTGTTTGCCATTTTTCCGATTTCATTAAAACAACATATTGTATTTTATATTTGACCAGCAGTGCTTGATAAAACTAATGGAGTTAAACCTTTTTCTCTATAAATTCCGCTTTTTAATTATATTCCTTAGCCAAATTCTTTCGATATTATAAATACAGGTTACCTTTATTATAAGTTTCTTTTGTAATCGTTTGTTGTGTATTTTAAATTGACTTCAGGAGAGGAAAATGTAAATAAACCGAATTTCGGGATATGGACAGATCTTCCTAATTTTAATTATTTATGTATATAAAAACCCAATGAATTCCATATGGTGCTTAAAAGTTCTTAATTTATTAATCCTTAGATTTAAAATAACCTAAATTAAATGAAGTATTATTAAATTTTTAATTTTTTTTTTTTACTTGTTATTGTTTAATGAACATATTTCACTAAGTAAAATTTATGTTTATTGACTAGCTTTAGATATATCAGATTTTATAGATTTGGACATATTATTATTTTTTTTATATATAAATTTATTAAATTTTATTTTTAATTTATAATTTTATTTATATTAGTTGGCTTAAAATAAAAATTATAAATATTATAAAATATTTATTTTTAATTAATAATAAAATTTATGATATAAAATCATATTATTTTTATAAATTTTATATACATTTTTTAAATTTATAATTATTTATACATTTATTTTATATTGCTTTTATGAAAATATTTATATGTACTTTTTAAAAATTTCTAATAATTTGTTCTTAAAAAAATATAAATTTAAATAATTTTTCATTTAAAAAATACAAATGCTAAAATTATTCCTATTAAAATAAAAAAAAATTTATAAGAACTTTAATCTTTATCATGTTATCCATTTACTTAGTTTTGAAATTAACTTTAAAGTAATTAATTATATGCTTATTATCTTTAAGCTTTTGCAACTTTAATGGTTTTTTCTAACTCATCATAATTTTAAGATAACAAAGTAAATTTTTTTCTCAGTTAATCTTCTTAATCTTTTGAACTTATATTATTTGAAAGAACATTACTAGAATTAAGTAAAATAAAAAAATATCAAATAAAATAAAAAATTAAAAAATAAAAAAATAATAAAATAAAATATTAATAAATAATAAATTATAAAAAAAAAAATATATATAAATATATATATGAAAATATAAATATATATATATATATATATATATATAAAAATTTTAATATATAAAAAAATTTTAATTATATATATATAATTTTTTTTTTTCATTATAAATATAATTTCAAATTTTTTATATTTCTTTTTTATTTATATGATTTACATTACATATAGTAATTAAATATAATAAGATTATTTTATTTTTATAATTATTTTGAAACTAAATAAATGTTAATTATTAAAAGTAATATTTATATATATATAAATAAATAAGTTAATTTTTATTTTATTATATATATATATTTATGTATTAATACCATTGCCTGACTTATTAATATACAGACTAATATTCTGATTTTTAATTTACAATGAATTCTTTTACATTATTAACAGTTTTATATATATTAACTTTCAATTTAAATTAATCAATTTTATTTTAATCTATTTATTTCCATATATTTTCAAATTCATTAGCATTTTTTATAGTCATACATTATATAGTCTAAACTTAAAATTTGTTTTCTACTAAATTTTCTGCATCTTATTTAGTCTAATATATTTTATTTTTTAAGTTATAAATATTTTTTTTTATACTATTGGCTTTATTATTTCAAATACAATATCTATTTATTAACTTGGATTTATTATTCCTTTATGAGGTTTAACTGAAAAATATATTACATCAGTTGTTTTTATCTATATTTTATAAATTTTATTTTTTAAGTTATTTATATCGTATAAAATAATTTATTGTCATTTTTATACAATATATAAATATTAAAAAAACCTTAAATAAAATTGGAATATAAGAAGAATTTGTTAATGTCATTTATGTTTTCAAAGGAACTTAATTTTCTTTTAACTCAAAATAAATTTCATTCGAAGAAAGAATCAAATATTTCATATTTGTTAATTTAATGAAATATTATTAAATTATTATGATAAAAATTATATATTATAAATATATATGATAATAATTAATTCAAATATTTTATTTTCAAATAAGTATAATAGTTATTTAATATTTTATGATATTATAATTATATAATATATTATATTAATTTTTAATAAATTTAATATTATTAAATAAATTTTATAAAATATATTCATTATTTATATTTAAATATATTTTTAAATATATAATAAAAATATAAATATATATATATATATATATATAAATGTTTATATATATTATAATATATATATATATTAATTATTTGTTCATATTTATTTATTTTTCATTTAGTATTTTTAATTATTTTTTTTTTTTAAGTTTTCTATTTTATTATATAAATTAACATCAATTTTTTTATAATTTATATATATTTTATTATATTATTTATGATATTTTATTATTATGATATATTTTATTACGTATTCAAATTTTCATTTAAATTTTATAAATATAACAAAAAACACTTTATATAATTTTTTTTTATATTATTATATTATTATACTATTATTTTTAAAAAAACATGGGGGAAATATGCAAAGATATAAGATCTTAACAAGAAATATAACATTAAAAATAAGTAATATAAAATTACTCTGCAAGAAATTTTTAAATATTTAATAAGCTCATAGCATAACAAAAGAATATTTAATAATTAAATTTAGATAATGAATATTAAATTCCTTAAAAAATATATCTTTCAGGAAATAGATTTGTTTTAATAACTGATAATTTAAAAGAAAAAAACTAAACATTTATAACTTCTAATGTAATATTTACTATTCATGGAATTCCAGATTCACATTAAAGTTTTAAATTACTTTAATCTTCTTTTCCTTTGAACTATTGCAGATGGATTAATTTCTGTATACCAGGTCTTGATTAATTCGACGAAAGAAGAGGTATATTTTTAAAAATAAAAAAATCTAATCAATTTCTTAAAAGGATAATTTGATTCTAATTTCGAAGAATCAATGAATTTAGTTTATGATCTTTTATAAAAACTTTAAATTGAAAAAGTTGTTATAATAGTACATTCTTTTGGAGGTGTTATTGGTAAATGTTTTTCATATAAATATCCTTAAAAAGTTAAAGCTTTAATATAATTAGCTTCAATTCCTTTATATGAGTTTTTATTATTATATTTTTTAAAATTTTATTTTTATTAATTTTATATTATTTTTATTTTGCTTTTTTTTTATAGATGGGCCGCTTATTAGTAATCTATTTTTTATATAAAAAATCATTTACTACCAGATTTATATTCTTAAATAAATATTAAAACTTTAAATGATGATAATTTTAGGGCCTAAATATAATAGAAACTTACTTAGTTTTAATAACAAATAAAATAACTTCCTAAAGAATAATAAAAGGCTTTTGTATTAGTTAATATGCTTTCAATTTATGATATTATTGTGTTTCTTAAATATGAACTAGAAGGTCTAGATTTTGCTATAGAAATAATGAAATAAATTGATAATAAAATTCCGAGATTTTTCGCATATAATGACAAAGATTTATTTATTAGTCCTGAAATAATTGAAGATGAGATTTGGAAAGTTATTTAATCTTCATAAGTTACTTTTGAAAATAAAAATACTTTGGGACTTGAATTAGATAAGAACAACTTTTAGAGTAATTTTGTATTTTAATTCTAAAATGCTACTCATAATTTATAAACAACTAGACCTTAAGAACTTTCAGCTTTAATTTAGGCTTTCTTATCTATTATTGATAATTAAGAATAAACTAAAAATTAAAAATTATGATTTTTATTGATTTCATTTTTGTTATATTTATTTTAAAAAAAGAATAGAATTAAAATGTAAATAATATTATGTTTTATTAATATTTTAATTGGATATTTAATAAAAATTAATATTATTAGCAAAATTAGCTAATTAAAATATTAGTTTTAATATCATAAATTTTATACTAATATATTTTATATATTATTACAAAATAATACATTTAATAAAATAAAATTAAAAACATTAAAATTTATATAAGTTATAAAATATAGAAAAATAAAGCCGAAAATAATTATTTTTAATTTGTGTTAAAACAAATATAACATAGGTATTTAATAAAACAGTTTCATATATAAGTAAATAAAATAATTAGATAATTTGAACAAAAGCAATATCAGATTAAGGAGTAATTAATAGATTTTACAATTTATTATTTATAATATTAAAATATAAAAGCTAATTAATATATCAAAAATTAAATAAAAAATATTAAAATTAAAAAATAAAATCCAATAAATAATATACTTTAAAAAATAAAAGATAGAAAATAGTAAATTATATATTTTTTTTTTATTTAAAATATTATTATTTTATTTATATAAAAAGAATAATCATATTTCAAAAATAAAAATTTATGTGAATCTTATATAGTCTAATATTTTATTTTTTTAAGAATATAATTAAAACATCAAATATTTAATAAATAAATAAAAAATGTTAATATAATGCAACTCATAATTAAAAACTAATTTTTTTTTTATAGATTACATTATTATATTTAAATTAATATAATAATATAATATACGAATAAAATTTAAATATTTTATAAAGATTCTATAAAAAATAAAATCTTATAAGGCAATTAATTATTTATTTTATTTTACACAAATAAAAAGTATAAAAAGTATTAATTATTTTTTTCTAAAAAAATAAAAAAGATAATAAAAGTTATAGAAAATTCATATTATAATCAGTTACTTTTTATAAAACTCTAAGATTATGGTGATGATATATTTCCATCAAATTAATTGGAATAAAAATTTATAATAATGTTTTTTACATTAGATTTTAGTGCATAAGATATAATTTTTTAAGAATCATAAATAGATGATTGTTTTTTTATAATATTTTAAATGACAAGTTAGTTTTTAATAAGAATATAAATAAAAAAATAAAAAATATATCAAAATATTTTGAAATATTAATTGAAAAATTATAATTAATTTTTTTCTATTTTTAAATGAATTATTAAAATATAATATTTTTTTTTTTTTATTTTTAAATAAAAAATAAATTATAATTATTATAATTTTTATTCTTTTCAAAGAAGTTTTTGATAAATTCTTATTTATTTATATAAATCAGTATATTAACTTTTATAATTAAGTTTTCTAAAAAATAAAAATACAAAGACGAAATAATAGTAATATATTTAAGCCTAATTGATGATTCAATATTATTTTTATTTTTAAATCAATCAATATTTTACATATCATTTATTAACTAGATTATATATTTAATATATATAAACACCCGTCTAGCTCAGTCGGTAGAGCGCTAGCCTTTTAAGCTAGTGGTCAAGGGTTCGAGCCCCTTGGTGGGTGTATTTTTTTTAATTAATAAATAATTAGTTTATTAGCATTTTGTTGAACATAAATTAAAAATGCGAGGATAAATTATTTTTAAAGATAATATTTTCTGTATATTTTTTTTATAAATTATAATTTAAAAATACATTGATAACTTTTTAAGATAAAAATAAACTATCATATAAATATACAAACATTTTTTTATTTGAAAAAATAAACTTTATTTATTATTTATATAACAGAATATTTTAAGAAAATATTTTTATATCTTTATTTATTAGAATATTTTTATCCTTATTAATTATTTTATTATAATTATTTTTTAATTATTAATTATATATTTGTTTATTTAATTTTTTTTCCATGATTATTTATATTATTAATTAATTTATATTTATCTAAAAAAATAAAATATTAATAATTATTTATATATAATTAAATTTAAAAATAATTATTTATCTTTTATTCATAAAACAATTATATATAATTTGAATTATATATATTGTTAATTTTTTTTTCAATCATATTTAATACTTATATTTATATTTAAATAAGTTTTATAATTCAAATATAACCAATCACTAATCATTAATTTTAAAAGAAAAATCAAGTTTACTTTAGCTTATTACAAAAGTACTTTTTCTATTTTTTCTATTAGAATTTTCCAAATCATCTTAAGTATTATCAAAATTTAAATCTTAATTTAAATGATTTTAATTTTATTAATTTAACCCTTCAGGATTTTTTTATTAAAAATCATTTTCCTATTTTTATTAATGATCAGAAACAATATCAGGTCTATTTTTTTTGCTCTTTTAATGTTCTACAGGTAAAAAATAGAAAATGTAAGGAATAATTATACAAGGAGTAACTTCTACAAATGTAAACAATAAAAAAACAAATTAAGTGCCTTAAGATAAAGCATAAAATGTGAAATCTTTTTTGCAAGAAATATGATTAAAAAAGACAGTATTTCTAAGAATATTTAATAAAATTTAGAATCCGATAGTTAATAATAATGTAAGAATAATCATTGTAATTTATTTACTTGATTATTGATATTATTATATATGATTTGAAAGTAAATAAGATTAAACTGACTTTTCACCTAATAAATTTTTTTCGTAGAATTATTTTAGATTATATTTTAATTTAAGACCATAAAAAATACTTAATGTAGCACATAAAGTGTTTAAAATTACAGGAATGTAATAATTATTTCCAAACCATGTGGAACAGCTAGACCTTTCAATAGTTGAAATCATAAAAATCCATAATATGCTAATGATTAAAGTAAATAAGCCGTAAACTATCATTATTATTTTTTATACTTTTTTATTGAATTAATCATCATAAATGCTTGTCCGATAAAATAATAAAGATAAACTCATTGTAATTAGACTAAATGTTATACTTTATATATATATGCATGAAAGAAGTATTCTTATATCTGAAATAAACAAACTTAAAATAAATTATAAAATACTTTGGACTAAGGTTGTGCTTAAAGGTAATATTTCAAATGATATTCTTTGCATGTATTAGTACATTTAGAGCATACAGCTTACAGAAAATACTATTATAAAAAATGTGTATAAACAACCTAAAACGGAAAAAAGACACTGTACTGATAGTTCTTTGCAAGTATATTATATTTCTAACATTTTTTAAAAAAAAATCGTATTTATTTTTTAATATATTATTATAAAATATTTACAAATAAATTATTTTTTTCTAGAAGTAAAAGAGAAAAATATTAATTTATCTACATATATTTTAAATATGCCATATATTTAATAAATTTATTATTATATATATTTATATATTTAATTAGTAATCCTTCTTTTTTATAATATTTTTATAATTATTAATATAAATTTATAAATAATACAATTATAAATATTAAATTTGTATAAATAATAAATATATTACGATATATATATATATATATACAAATTAACAAATTAATTAACTAATGTTTAAAATATAAAAATAATACTTTTAATATTTCATATCAATTGTAATTATTAATTTTTGATTAATAAATCAATTTTTTACAAGATTTAATTATGGTCTGTTAAGTTTAACTTTTTTTAAATATTAAAAACTAAGTCAAAGTCATTAATTTTAAAATTTTCAATTAATTTTAAAATATGTGTAAAACAAGCATCCTATCTCATATCTTCATCTAATTCAAGAAGTTTTTTTATAATTTTAATAAATCTTTACATACCAACAATTTAGGAATTAAAATTTTAAAGTTTTTCAAATAAATACTCAATATTATCAACTTTAAACAAGCTTTAAATTTTTTACAATATAATCTAATTTTTTTTCTTAATTTTAATCTATTCAATAATATCTTTATCAGTACATTCTTCATCTAAATCAAGTAAAGTGCATAAAATGTTTTTAAAATTAAAAAACTAATCTATAAGTTTTAAATCTTATTATTATTTTTACAGTATTGGAACTATTTTATCAATACTTTAGACTTTTTTTTTTTCCCCGAAAAGAACTTAAGTTATTTATTATAATATATTTTCCATTTTAGGTATAGCCTACATTACTAATTCTGTTTTTTGGGCACATTATATTAATTAGTTTTCGTTTTCTACTTAATATATATCACATAGTTATATTATTATTTATTAAAAATGTTTTAATTTTAAAGAGTTATTTTTATTCATTTCTTATACATTTTTTAATGTGTTATCATTTTCTTCTATTTTTATTATATCTTCACTTTCATTTATGCATTTTTAAACGAAAAATGATTTTTCGTCTTTTTTATTAAAATTACTACTGCCAATTGAATTTTGGAAATTTATATTATTTTCTTAATTTTGAACTTAATTAAATATTTATATTTTTTAATTATCATAATTCTTTTTTGTTTCTATATATTTTTGGCTTAATTAATCATATTAATAAGTAAAAGCTTCCTATGTTTTAATTATTTTTTAATTTATTTCTATTAGATTGTTTTTTTCTTATGTAAGTTAATTTATTTAATTTAATAATTCTTATTAAACTTTTTCAAAAAATTAAGTTTTGTTTCTATCTTCTTCAAACAATTTTTATGAAATTGCACTTTATTCAATTAAATTTTAATTTAATTATTCTTTTTCATTTATTAAAATTAAGTTTTCTTTTTCAAATTTTTCCCTTTAATTTTCAAAATGATTCAATAAAAGTATTAATCTATCATCTTAATTATTAGAATATATAGGTTTTCTTCCTATTATTAATTTTTTAATTTATTAAATAATACTAAAATATTAAAATTATTTACCCATAAACTTAATAAATATGTTTTAATCTCTATCTTTTTATTTATCTTCGATGCTATATTTTTAGCCTATTCTTTTATTTAAATCTAAACATTCGCTTTCTTTTTTTTAAAGTTTTGCTTCTGTATTTGTCTAATTCATTTTTTAATTGTCTTATTTTTTTTTAAAGATTTTATGTTTCTTATTAATATTTTTTAAGTTTATCTTTTTCCATTTATATTTATGAATAATGATTAACTTCCATTTTTTATATAATTTGGGAAAGATCATCTTTTTCTTTTTTTATTTAACTGTATTCTTCTAGAAGTTTTTCCATTATATTATTTTAAGCCTTTTTTTTATCCCCATCAAATTCGGTTTAGAATTATTAATTCATTAATTTTTTTATAAATATATATTTTTTTTTTCTTTTTTTTTAAAAAAAATAAAAACATATATATAAATAATATATTTAAATATAAAATATATTTAAAAATATAAAAAATTTTTTTTTTTTTGATTTTTCTTTTATGAATAAATTATTATAATATTAATAGTAAATCTATAAAAAATAAATAATACTAACGAAAAATAAACTATTTATTCAAAAAATATAATTTCAAACATTTATATACTTTTTATTTTTCTATAAGAATTATTTATTAATATAGCAGCATAAAAGAAATTCTTAATTTTTATATCATTATATAAAAATAAAATTATATATGTATTTATAAATTTCTATATAAGAAATTATCATCATATAAATCCTAAATATTTTCCAAAATTATCTTTAAGTTTATCTTCAACAATAAAAAGGGTGGTTTTATAGCTTCCTGCTCCTATAACAAGAAGAGAAGTATTATTTTCCTATTTAATTATATATATATATTTATATACATAAATATAATATTTAATGTTTTTCTATTTTTTTTTTATTCATTAATTAATTAAATAAATAATAAATAAAAAAAATTAATACCTTTTTTATTTTATTAATTATATATTTAAAAAATAAAATAAAGTAAAAATAAATAATCCAAAAATTAAAATATTGATTAATAAATAATTATATATATAATATAAATATATATATATATATATTTATATATTTATATATTTTATATATTTGTATATATTATACATTAGAAACAAAGTTAAAAGGTTGACAAATATTTTTAAATAACGGAATTTCTCCGAAATAGTCTCCTTTTCCATATTTAAAAACTTATTTTCCATCTTTAACAGCTATCACTTCTCCGTTTTCTACAAAATAGATATTTCCAAATTTAGATCCCTATTATTTATATAAATATATATTTATATTAAAAAAAATACTTATAACAAAATATTTTCCCCTTTTTAAAAAACTTTATTTTCTAAAGAATCCGCAATTTTTGTTTTTTCATATGGGTCATGAATATGTTTCAAAAGTGGAAGACTTGTCAAAAACTATTCATATTTTTCTCTTTTTCTCATAGCTGCATCTTTCACAATATGATTAAAAGTTTCTCTATCAAGAGCCCAAACTAAGCATTCTGTTTTTGCCACTATAGAAGCTGCTCTTGGTGCATTATAAAGAAGTGCAAGTTCACCAAAAGATTCGCTAGGTTAGTAAGTTTTTAAATATGTAGGTTAGGGTTAATTTTAGTATTTTTTAAAGCAATCTAATTATCCTTTTTCTATTACATATAAATATGTCCCTTCTTCTCCTTATCTTATGACATAATCTCCTGCTTAGTATTTTTTCTCTTCCATAGCATTTACTACTATTTACTTTTCTTTATTATCTAAACAATTAAACATAAATGATTAGTTTATTATTGAAAAGATTCTTTATTTTATTTCTTCACTTTTAGGAATTATTCTCGCAACGAAATTTTCTCGTTTATTAAATAATCCATAGGCTTCAGCACTTACAGATATTCTTTATTATTTAATATTTTAGTTTTTTATTTCGACTTATTCAACTATATCATCATCTTCTTCGCTTGAATTCGAAATTTAAGATTTTGGAGAATTTGGCTAATTTTACTTTTTTTTTTAAGGACTATCTAGTAATATTATTTTTATATAAATAATATTGGGTAAAAAAAAAAAAAAAGTTTATTTTATTATTAAATTGCGTATTTTTTTTTAGTTTTTTATTTATTTTTTTTTACTTGATTTCATGATTAGTTTTTTTATTTTGCTTTTATTTAATTTTTTTTTTTAATTTAATTTTTATATTTTTTAATTTTATTTATATAAATTATTGTTAATAAAAATAAATAAAAATTTATTTTGTTTATTGAATATATATTTTAACTCTCTTATATATATATATATATATTTAATAAATTAATTAATAATGCTATTATTATCATAATTAATTTATATATATATATATTATATATATATATATATATTATAAATAAAATAAAAACTAATTAAAAACTATTAAATATATATATAAATAATAAAAATAAAATTTATTATATATATATATAAATATATATTTATATATATTTTTTTATTTCACATACAAATTTTAGTATATTAATATCACCAATTAATAAAAGGATCATCAGAGCTTTTTATAGCCTTTGGCAATTCATTAGAATCAGGGTAGCTTCCATAATTAGAAGTATCATTTTTGCCTTTAATGGGAGGTTTATAAATTGCTGGATTTTTTTTTTAATTCAAAGCATCCCAATCAATATCTCCGAACCATCTATGTGTTTTAATATCATTTACTCCTCCTTTTAGATTTCCATATCTTTTAGTCAAATCGGCCACAAGTAAATGTTTAACAAGACTTTTAGCATTTCTTAAAAAAGCAAAAAAAAATATAAAATAATTTAAAATAAAAATAATAAAATAAAATGATATAAAATTAAATATAAAAACATTATAAAATAAAATAAAAAATTAAAATAAATTAAATAAAATAAAAAATATATATATATACTTATCAAAATTTCTTGGAAATTTAACTTTTCCTTTTAAAATTTTTTAATATATAGCCATAGGATCTTCATCATTAAAAGGATCAATACCTATTAAAATTTATCTTTTTTTTATGAAAAAAAAAAATAAATTAATATAAAATTAGAAACCAGCAATCATTTCATATATAAGAATTCCCAAACACCACCAATCTACCGGTTTTCCGTGTCCTTTATTAAGTAATATTTCAGGTGCTAAATATTCTGGTGTTCCACAAAGAGTATATGTACGTGAATCACAATATTTAGCAAAACCAAAATCTGTTAATTTTAAGTAGCCATCTCCAGCTATGAGTATATTTTCTGGTTTTAAATCCCTATATACTATATTTTTTCCATGTAAATATTCAAACATACTGACTCTGAAATTATTTATTTTTGTCATTATATTATATTGTATTTTTTTACACTTATGCACCATAAAATTATGATTCGTTATTTTCAAGTTTACCTTTATTACGTAAATAAGTAAATAGTTCACCTCCTTGAACATATTCTAATACAAAATATAAAAATCTATCATCTTAACAAAAACCAAGCATTTTAATCTTTTTTTTTTTAAATTTATTAAAAGATATTTTTTTTTTTTCTTTTTACAAGAAAGGGATGATTAATATTTGATAATATAGTGTTTTCTGAAATTATATGATCTACTTATTTTAAACGCAAAATTTCAGCTTTTTTAAGCATTTTTAAAGCAACATATCCACCTATTGATTTTATTTAGCTAATCTAACACGACCAAATGATCCTTAATTTAAAATATTATATTTTATTTTATTTTATTTTTATTTTAAGTGTTTTAAATATTTAAATTTTAATTTTATCTAATATAATTTATATTTATTATTTATAATTTATATTTAATAAACCTGTTCCTAAAGTTTACAATACTTCAAATTCACTTAATTTTATCTATTTTGATTTAAAAGTTTCCATTTTTTATTTTTATTTTTATTTTTTATTTATATAAAAATATAAAAATAAATATAAAATTGCTATTAATAAAATAAGAAAAGTATATGTAAATAGAATAAATAAAACAAAGCTAATAATATATAAATATATTATTAGTAATAATTATATATGTAAATAGAAATAAATATATATATATATTTATATATATATATATTTATATATTTTTATATATTTAGATTTTTTTATATATATATATATTTATATATTATCATAATTTTTTTTATATATACTTTATTTAAGTTTTATTTTTTATTTATTTTATTAAATTTATTAATATAAATTTTTGAATATTTTAATTAAATAAATTAAATTTTTTAGAAATTTAAAATTAAAAAATAAAGTAAAATTTAGAAATAGTTAAACAATTATTAATTATACATATATTATATATAATTATTTTAATAATAATATTTTTTTAATTTCATAAAATTAGTTCTAATCAAGTTTTATTAATTTTTGATAAAATATCTTCTGTTTATTACTAACTATTATTTTAATTTATATTATTATTACTGTTTTCATTATTTTTATGAGTTTAATTATTTCCTTATATATTATTTTGATTATTATTGTTTTAATTTTATATTTATAACAAATACTATTGTTATAATTACATTAAAAATTATTATCTTAATTTTTAAATTCCTTCTTTCTGCTAAAGTATATTATTTGCATTTTACTACTAACTTTCGTTTTATATATTAATTTCATTTTCATTATTATCGTTATTAATTTTTCTTTATTAAATTAAATTTTATTAGTAAAAATAGCTTTCTTATGATTTCATATAATATTTTTATTATTATTAAAACATAAACTAATTAAATTTTAAATCTAATTTTTTTAGTTCTTACTTTTAATCATTTATACTTTATAAAATTTATTCATGGTTAATTTTTAAAATTTAAATTTTTTATTTTAATTATTCAATTTTTACAACGTATTATATTTATTGATTTGGATGTAATTATTAATAATATTAGTGCTTTTATTATGATTCTAAAGAATTTAAAAGAGCTTAATATTCATCTAAATAAAATTTATTCAATTCCATTTGTTATTCTTATTTGAATTTATTTAAATATATTTCTGATTTTTGTAATTTAAAGTTTGAAATTTCATCATAATGTAAAATTTCAAACTCTATTAAGGCATCATTTATTTAGAAATCTTATTTTAGTAAAAATAATTACAGATTTTAATCATTTTAAGGCAAATTATCGAGATTAAAATATACTTAATTTGGTAAAATTTATTATTATTATTATTATTATTATTATTATTATTATTATTATTATTATTATTATTATTATTATTATTATTATTATTATTATTATTATTATTATATATATTACTATTACTTTTATTATATTTACTATTAAAGATATAATTCTTGTATTTATTCTAATGTTAATTATTGATTTATGTTTAATTATTATAATTATATATTTTAATTTTAGTAATTTTGAGATTAAATATGAATTTTTTTTATTTATTACTATAAATCTGACTATTAAAATTATAATTACTAAAATTGTATTTATTTTAAAATTTATTAAGGACTCAATTATTAAAATTATTGATTTTATTATATATTTTTTAATAAAATTTATTACTATTAAGGTTATAATTATTACTATTATATGACTTATTAAATATACTATTATAAAATTTATTATTAAATATTTTACTATTATTAATTTTTTTATTATTCATATTATTGATTTTATGTTTTATTTTTAATTTATTATATATTGTTGTTTTAATTTTAAATTTATTATGATTATTATTATTATTAAAATAATTAACTTATAACTTATTTATTTAGAATTTTTTCATTTTCGTTTTAATTAACCTGTTCTTATTATAATTATAAAACTTGATCTTATTCATTATATTTTTTTTCTATTTAATTGTCATTAATTTCTTATTATATTTACTTTTAATTTAATTATTTATTTTCTTGTTATTATTGTTATTATATTTATGATTCTATATTTTATTATTATGGTTATTATAACAAAGGTAATAAATTTTACATATTTCTTTATATATTTTATGGGTAAAATTAATTTTATAATAAAAAATAATTATTATTATTATTATTATTATTATTATTATTATTATTATTATTATTATTATTATTATTATTATTATTATTAGATTAATTTTTATTCCTATGTCAATTATATTTATTATTATATATCTTATAATTATTATTTCGAATCTATTAATTGCATTTATGTATTTAAATTATCATTTTTAACTATTAATTTTTAATTTTTATTATCTTATTTTTCATTTTATTGATTATCTTGTTTATTTTATTAATTTTCTATTACAGAATCTTATTTATTACTATTTTTTTTATTATTTTTCTATTAGTATTTTTATTGTTATTTTCTAAAAGTACTTTGCTTATTATTTTATGAATTTTTTTTTTCTAAAAATTATTTGAAGAATCTTCTGAAGTATTTCCATTATTTTTCGAATTTTTACTTTTATTTTAATAATCTTATTATTATTACTATTATTTTTTTTCTTTTTTTCTCTTTCTTTTTTCTTGAAATAATTCTTCTTCTTCAACATTAAATAAATCTGAATCCGAACTAGTCTAAGAATCGAATTTTTTCTATAAATTTTAACTATAAACGAACAAATCTTTCGTTCTTTCATCAAAAATTATCCTAAACTGAATTTTTTAATAGTATTTCTATTTTATAAATTCTAATATATTCCCCTAATATTTATTATTACTATTTATATTTCCATAATCTAGACTTATTTTCTCAATTGCACATAGAATAAATTACAAAATATGCTTTATATTAAGTAAATGATAACTATTATTTTATCCTAAAGTCCCCATTATTATTTAATAAAAAGTGTCTTCTATATTTCTATTTGTATGACTTACTAATGTTGTTAAATATAAATCTTTTAAAGTATTTTTTTGGACCAAATTTTCATTATTATTTTCTTGTGGGCAAAATAGTTCTTCGGGAAATAGACTCTTGAAATTATCGGATTTTAATATATAATGTAGAAGAGATACCCTTTAGTATAAATTAGTTATATAATTTAGTAAAATATAATAATATTCGCCACAGATAATACTTTTTTCTTAATTAGATTATGGATAATAGTAATTTTATTATTATTCTTTTTTTTATTTTTTATTTTCTTATTTTTATATATTATTTTTATTTATTTATTTTTATTCTTTATTTTCTATTTATTCTTCTTATATTATTATATTTTCTTAATTATTTTTTTTTTAGTTATTTTCTTCTTTTTTTTTAATTAATTTTTTTCATCTTCTTCTTTAATATAATTTTTTTATAAATTTTCTTATATTTCATCTACCTATTAATTTTAAGGGAATAAAAGCTCTTTATAAAACTCATTTAAGTTAACCTAATTAGGATTAATATTTTGGCTTTATAAAAATATAAAAATTATTTTCGCTTATTAATCATCAATAAACTCTTTAAAAAACTTCGGTTTATATCCAAATAAAGACATTACAATATTCGAAAAAATCAGAGAGCCATCTTTTCCTTCTATATCTAAAAAAGTAAAAATTAAATCTAGTGTAAATTCAAAAGATTCTTAATTTTAAAAATTATATACGAAAGTTGGAAAAGCGAATCCCTTTTTTAAAAAAAAATCAAAAAGTTCTTTATTATTATTTAGGAAATTTTCAGTTTACTTTTCTTTAATAAAAATCTCATATTATAAAATTTAATCATGGTCAATAATCTTTTTTTCGTTTAAAATTTTATGTTTTTTTTCTAGTTTTTCGAATTCCGTGTTTATTCCCATTTTTTAAATGTCTTCTTGTTTTTAAATGAATAATTTTTAATCTAAAGAATTATAAAAATATGTTTTTTCTAAAGCTTTTTATTTAGAAATAACATAATTTTTATTTTTTTAAATTATTTATATTTGATTAATCATTATTTCAATAAATCTATCTATTTATTCATTATTATTTGCATCTAATTTTTCTTATTAATCAAATAATTAAGTATTATTTATAATTTCAATAATTTTTTCCTTTTCTTTATTATTATTTCTACTCTTTTAAATTTATTTTAATAAATATTACAAAACAAAACTTTTTTAATCCTAAACCCATTTCTCATCTTCCATTTAAAATAATTTTTCCGAAAATTCATTTTTTGAACCTTTCATTTTATCATCAATAGTTCTTTTTGGTACTCCTTGTAACTCCCTGTTTATTTCGGGAAGATTAACTTGAAATCTTTGTGGAGTAATTCCTTAAAATCTAATGTAACTTACATTTATGCGCTTTTATTGAGATATATCTTTATAAAAATGAATAGGTCTAAAAAAAGGATAAAATGGAGTATTTTTCTTAAAAACATCGAAATCTATTTTGTATTTTTTTTTTTTTTCTACTTTTTTTTAGTGTTTTTTCTCCAATTCAGAGTTTTTGGATACTGATTATATTTCTTCAGAATCATCGCTTATAAATCGTTCGCTTATTTCGTAATCTTCGTCATCTTAACTATCATATAAGTCTTAGAAATAAGTATTATATAATTAGTCATCTTTTAGTTTTTCGGCTTCAGTTATATATACTTTTTTTCGGGATTTTCTTTTATTTAGTGAAGAATATGACATTTATATTATAAAATTATTTTTATTTTAATTTTTTTTTGGTTTGTTTTAGTTTTTTTTTTTGGTTTTTGTTTTATTTTTTATTATTTGTATATGAATTTATTTTTTGTTTTTAGAATTTCTTATTTAAATTTTTTTATTTTTTTTTGATTAAATTTTCTTTAATTGTATATATGTATTTATTACAAAAAGTGAAATGAGTGTTAAATTTATGTTTAATTATTATATTTATTTTTATAAAAATAATAATATTCTTTGGTTTTTTAATTTTTTGAACTTATGTTTATATATTTACATTTTTAATGATTAATTTTTTATTTTTTTTTTAAATAACAAAAATAAATTAAAATATATTTAAATATTTTTTTAATATATAATTATAAAAATAAAATTGTATTAATTAATATAATATAATATAATATATTTTTTTTTATTTATTTTTTAAAAAACAAAAAATATATAAATAAATATATTTCAATTTATATATATATAAATATATATTGTTTTTTCGTATTATTTATATATTTTTACAATAATATATTAAATATTTATATGTATATTTTAATATAGTTTTGTCTTTTAAATATTTTTTTTATTTTTTATAAATTTAATTACTATATAAAGAAGATAATATATAAATTATTTATCCATTTTGTTTTATCATTTATTATTAAACTGTATAAAATATAAATTTACATTAAAAATATATATAATACTTTTAAATAAATTATTATTTATAATTTGAATATTATTATTTTGTAATTTTTTTAAAAAAATATGTTATATTAATAATTAATATGCCAAGAAATTGATTTCTTGAATTTTTCCTTCTGTATTTAAACGAAAAAAAAAATGAATATTTATATTTTTAATTGTATGATATTAATTATTTTAATATTTTTTTTTTTTTAATATTTTCTTTTTTTTTTTTATAAAAATTTGATAATTATTAGATGATTTTTAGATATTCTCATGCATTGATATTTAAGTTAAAAAATAAATGAAAATTTATATTTAAAAATAAATAAAAATTAAAAAAATAAATATTATATAATATTTTATATATACAAGTATTAAATATAAAAATAACATATTAAATTTAAATAAATTATATTTATTATTTTAATAAATATTTAAATCAAGATATATTAAAATAAGAAAAAATTTCAAAAATAAGCATTTAATATTATTTATTATTAAACCAATCATCAAACAAAACGCTAAATCTTATATCTCGATACCTTAATTTTTAAAACTAATAAATATTTCTATTATAATAAATTTTTTATAAAAAAATTTTAAAAAAGCAAGTAAAAAATAAATCAAAAAAACTTTTTTTTTTTAAAAAAAAAATTAATAATAATAAAAAAAAAAGCATTAGAATTTATTAAAAATATAAAATATAAAAAATAGCCCAAATGAACAATATAAACGTCTCGTATTTTTTCAACTAAGTCGCAAATTAAAATCAAAACCCATAAATAAACGGTTAACAAAACCCATAACAACGTGCAAGCCATTTAATAATAGTACGCCGTTAAAATCCTCTTTCAGCATCAAACCCATAAATTGAAAACAATTAAAACATATAAAATAGCATCGAAAACAATGAAAATAATAATGAAAATAACAATGAATAACAACACCAAAATTAAGATTAAAAAGAAAAAGAAAAAGACTTTTCTTTAGAAATCGAAAATTTAGCTGTATAAACTGAAAATCTTGATTTTGTCAAATGCCCCATATGTATCCATATATATGTAAATCCAATTGCCTGTGGGAACTGCTTGAATCATTTTTGTATGTTTTGTATTAGAGAATGGTTAATAAGGAATCCAAATTAATGTCCTTTATGCCATAATTTTAGAGAAATGAGGTGCTTTCCAATGCTTAAAAATATGCTCGATAAGCTTTAATTTAATTGCATAAATAAAGAATAGGGTTGTTCGTAAATCATATATTACGAACAGGCGAAAAAACATGAAGAAGTATGTGAATATAAACTCGAAGTTTGCCCACAGAAAGAATGCCGATAATAAATGATAAGGAGACTTTTGCAAAAACATATAAAAGAAGAGTGTGACTTTGCTGAAGAGGCATGTAAATGGTGTTTGAAAGAGCATAAAAAAAAAGTAATTGAATTACATGAGGAAAACTGTGATTTTAAGGAAACTGAGTGTAATTTATGCGGATTAACTTTCAAGCTTTTAGACATTGATAATCATAAAGATGTTTGTCCAGAAAATTTGAGAAAATGTAAATGGTGTAGGTAGTTACTTAAATAAAAGGAAATTATGGATCATGAAGATTGCTGTGGGGAAAGGATTATTAAATGCTAAGGATGTGGATATGAATGCTGTTTGAATGAGCATTTTTTACATATGAAATAGTGTAAGGAATATCCTGTTTTCTGCAATAAATGTGAGACAGAAATGAAAAGAAGAGAATTCGTGAATCATACACCAGAAGTATGTATGGAGTAAAATTAAAAGCAAATGAAGAGGAAAATACTAGAAATGGAAAGAGAAAATTAAGAAATGAAAAAATAAGTTTTCGAATAATAAATTTAGCTATAGAGTTAAATTGAGGAAATTTAAAAAAACTGTTTTTTAGATAAAGTACATTTCTCGTAAGTATATAAAGATTAAGACATTTTTGTAAAAAGAAAAGGATAAATGGCTCTTATTCGAGAAACTAAAAAAAAAAGAAGAGATAGATTCGTTATTGTTGAACTAGCGAAAAAATTAGCAGGATTACCATTAAATATTTAATTTAAAATTGTTAGCTTAAGATCAGAATGGTTCGCTGTGGGAATTATTGATGAATCGAATGTTTATTCGGCTAGAAGATATCATGACATAGGACATAAATCTTATTTGATTTCGGCTAATGGGATTTTCTATTCTTCACATAATCCATATGAAAATTGGCAAAATAAACCTTTTATAATTGAATAAGATGATATTATTTCAGTTTGTTATGAAAATAATTAGAAACTTAAGTTTGTTAATCATAATAAAAATTAAGAACTTAATGTTAATTTAGATCCAGAAACAATAGATAATGGAAATTTTTATCCTTGTGCATGTCTAAGATGTCCTGGAGATTGTATTGAGATTGTTGAAGTATAAATTATTTATTTATATATATATATATATATATATATATATATATATATATATATATATTATTTTTTTAAATAGATAAATTAAGATTTATAATAATAATAATAATTAAATTAATAAGAAATTATTAATGCTTAAGAAGGATAATAAATTAATGATGAAAGTGAAGAATTTAATATATGAAATTAAAAACTAAAAACTTATTTAAATATAATATAATAAATATATATATATTAAGTTAGTATATACTTTTTTATATAATCAATATAGATTTTTTTATTTTTCTATATTAAAATATAATTAAAGTATAATTAAATTATCAAATATAAAAATATAATTAAAATTTAATTTTTGTAAATTTAAAATAAAAAGAACTAAACATTAGATTTTTTAAAAATAAAATTTAATAAAAGTTCTATAAAAAAAAAATATATATATAATTAAAAATTATAATAATAATATATTTTTATTTTTTCTAAAAAAAAAAAAAAAAAAAAAATATCAATTTTTTTTATCTAAAAGTTGTAAAATAAAATCAATAAAATTTGCTCCAATCCCATCAATTTTAAGATACCCAATTTTTTAAATAAAAACTTAAAAAGAATATGACTTTCCAAAAACACCAAATAATTTTTTTAAAGAAAAGTAATTTTCATATTTACATTTATTAAATAAATCATTATTTAAAAATTCTCTAACTAATTAAGGTAATTATGAAATATTATCTAATTTTAAATCTATATCTATATTTTTAATATCTTTTAAAATATCAAAACCTTTTTTATAAATATATATATATATATATATATATATATATATATATATATATATATATATATATATCAATCATACATTATATATTATATACTATTATTTTTTTTTTACTTAACATTTATTATCTTAATTCTTCAGATAAATGAAGTCTTAGATAAAATTTAGCTTAATTTAAAAATTTTTACAATTTTTCATTTTAATTTTCCTATATTGCTAATTTATATTCTTCATTAGTTTAATTTAATATTAAATTTGCTTCTATAAAGTTGGTATTATCCATAGCCTATAATAAAGTGTAGTTATTTTCTTTCTTTTCTACTTCTCCTATTAGATTAATTAATTTATTCCAACCATCTTTGATAATAAAACTATAAAATTCATCATCCATACCTTCTTTTTATAAATTATCTTGTTACAAAATTGGAGCTTTTATCAATATGTTTTCTCCATTTACATCTTATACTACCTATATTTAAATAAGACTCAAAGATTTATCGTTTTTGATTATATTTTTGACTTTTTCTATATCATTTTCTTATAATTCGATTATAAAAACATTTTATAAATCACCTATTTAGTTATTTGTGCGTTATTATAAGGTTTATTAAGCATTTTTAATTGTTTCATGGCTTATTGAACTAAATAAAGATATAGATGTTTTACCATTTTCTTCAAAATCAGGTCCTATTTGTATTTTTATTTAACTTTATTCCTAATCTTAAATTAATGCAGCCATTTTATTTATTTAAATATTATTAAATTATTTATATCGCGGATTTTTTTTAAAATTTAATAATATAAATATTAAATAAAAAAGATATTTATGTTTTATTATTATATATTTTTGTTTTTTAATTAAATTATAAAAAAAAAAAATTATTTTATTTAAGAATAAATATATTTTTTTATTAAAAAAATATTATGAAATTAGAAAAAAAATCTAAAATAAAATATTATATTATAAAAAAAAAAATATGTATATAAGAATAATAAAATAAAATTGATGAAACTAAAATTATTAAATAAAAAATATAATATATATAAATAATTGAAATTTTAAATAATTTTTCAAAAAAAAAAATATATTATAAATAAAAAAAAAATTGTTAAAATATAATAAATATATTTATATATATATATAAATATATTTATAAATATGATATTAATTAATTATAAAATAATAATCTTTTTTAATTTAAAATGTTTATATAATTTGCTTTTTTAAATCATAAGATATCAAATGGTAAATCATATATTATTATTTAAAATATTTATTTTAAATAAGATTTAAATATAAAATAACTAATATGAATAAATTAATATTAAATATTATATTTCTTTTAAATATAAAATATTATAAAAAATTTAAAATATTAATTATATAAAATAATTTGTATCATTTTAATATTTAAGAATAGAAAAATATGTATACATAACATTTTTTAATATCAAATATAATTTAAATAACTACAAAATTAATATAATAAAATATATATTATTTATTTAATTAAAGAAATATAATTAGTATTATTATTAAATTAAATATTTAACTTATTTAGAAATTTATAAGTTTTTAATTAATATAATAAAAAAAAAATTAATATAAATATAAATATATATATATATATATATATATTATAAATATATTATTATAAATATATATATTTATTTATTTTTTCTTATATTATCTTATATCTAATTTTATTTTTATCTTAAATATATTTTAATACTTAAATTTATTTTTTTTCTTAATTATAATAAATGTTTTTATTTTTATTTTTTTATATATTTTTTTTTTTTTCCATTTTTTTAAACTTTTTTAAACAAAATAATTTTTATTTTAATATATTGCTTATTTTAATTTTCATCTTTTTCATATAATTTTTTTAATACATTTTTTTTATTTATATTTTTATTATTTTTTTAATAATACTTAAATTTTGATATAATTTTATATATATCTATTTTTATATATTTATAAAATTTTTATTTTATTATGTCTTTTTTTTATTTATATGTTTTTTTTATTGTTTTTTATTTATTTATTTCTTATTATTATGAATAAGTATAATTTCTGGTTAATCATTTTTTTTTTTAATGATTTCTTAATTTTTCTTTTATTAGAATTAATTATTTATCTTAATTATATCAGAAATTTTTATATTCGATTTGTTTATTGATTTTTTAGGTTTTTTTAATTTGTTTTAAAATATTCTTTTTTTTTTAATTTAAAATATATATTTTAAATGCATTTATGAAAATATTTTCAATAGTATTTTTTAATTATTTTATATTAATTTGAAAATTTATTTATATTTTAATTTTATTATATTATTATGTTTTAATTTTATATTTTTTTAATGTTAATTAAAAAAATTATTATCAAAAATTATTATATTTTTTTAATAAATAAAAAAAAGAAAGTTTTAAAATTTAAATTACAGTTTACACTTATTATAAAATAATAAAAAAATTATTTTTAATATAAATAAAAAAGTTTATTCTTCTTAAAAAAGTATAGAAATAAAATTAGTTTATTTTATAATTATCTTTTTTAATATTTTTAAATAATAAAACTTTTCATTTAATTTTTATTTATTAAAATATTAATAAATATATAATTAAAAAATAAAAAAATGCTTATTTTTTTATACTTTATAATTATAAATATAATTAATAATATTTATGAAAAAGTTTAAAAACTATAATTTTATATATTCATATATATAATAATTTATTAACTTAACTTATTTTTTTTTGAAAAAAAAATAAATAAATAGTTATTATTAAATATATAGTTTATTTTTATTTTTGCATTTTTATTTTAAAAAATAAACTTTTTTAATATAATAATTTATTTTTTAAAGAAAAAATTTAAATTTTTTTTAAATTGCGACTAAATAACATATTAATATTCTTATAAAAAAAATACATATATTACCATATACACAAAAATTTTATAAAACCATTAAAATGTCAACAGATTGTCAAAAATACTATTAAATTCCTATAATAGAGGATATATATGATTTGGACACTTTTAATCTGCGCGAAATAACATAAAAAGTACAAAATTAAATCCAATTATTTTCTAATATAGAGGAATAAAATCCTTAAATTGTCCAATATATAAAAAAAGCAAAAAAATTTATTGATTTATCCACTCAAGAATTAGAAGAGCGTTAAATAATTGAAAATTTTGGTACTTATTGTATAAATAATACACTCGAAATTTCCCAATAAATTGAAAAAAGTCCAATAAAAATTCCATAAAAGGAACCAAAATATAACGCCGAAGAATGGATAAAAGCTTAAGATTAGATAATGAATAATTCGCATTCAGAAAGTGAAATAAAAAGCAATTAAAACAGCCAAATATATAAAAGAATGCATATAAATAATGTCCAAAAGTAATAAGAAATATAATAATTTATAAAAAAACGCTTTAAAATACTCGAATTACATAAAATACGATGGTTGCTAATGGTACAATTTAAAGAAATTTTTTAAATTAAAAAGAAAATATAAATAAAGAAGTGTAAGTTATATAAAATAAAAGAAATATTTAATAAAAAAACGATGAATAATTTTAAAATGTGGAAAGTAAAGTAAAATAGGAAATCGATAATTAAAAAAATAAAAAAATATAAACTCCATATTATACAACTGGAAAAGCTACTTATCCTAAATATATACCACCAATTAAAAAAAAAATAGATGAAGTAATAGAAAAGAAAAAAAAAATGAAAAACTTTCTAAAAAAATAATCTAAAACTTAGGTTTTATTACCTATGAATAATAATCATTTTAAGAAAAATAAATAAGAAAATAGTAATTAAAATTAAGAAGAAATTAAAGAAGAATTATATCAAGAAAATTAAGATAATTTAAGTTATAGTGATTGTTTATCATAAAAAACAGTGCCTGGGTAATATAGGAAAATCAATAAATGTGAATTTTAAGGTATTAAAAGAGTAACATCTTTATAGGAAAATTGTTAAAAAAAAAATATTAAATAAGATGATGATAATAATGATTATAATAAATTCAAATATAAATAAGAAGAATAAGAATTAAAATAATAATAATAAGAAAAATAATTAATATAAAAATAACAAAAAGATATATAATAATAATAATAATAATAATAATAATAATAATAATAATAATAATAATAATAAGTAAAAGAAAAAGTAAATGAAAAAGAAAAAGAAGAAAATTAATTTTAAAATGTGAAACTAAATTATTTAGAATAAAATTATAAATAGGATAATTTTTAATAATAATATAAAAAAGAAAATTAATAATAAAATGAAAATGAAAACGAAACTGAAAAAAAAGTATAAAAATAATAATAAGTATTAAATGAATAAAAAGAAAAAAAGATACATAAGAAAAAACATAAAAATTATAAACACAAGAAACCGAAGAAAACAAAGAAATATTTGAAAAATAAGAAAAAAAAGAAACATAAAATTATATTTAAGTAAATGATAATTTATAAGAAATTCAAAAATAAACAGAAAAATATAAAAAAATAGAAAATTAGGATAACTAGAATAGTTTTTTAGAAAAAAATCAATAGGAAATAATATAAACTTCTTTAGAACATGATGAGTAGTAAAAAATAATAAATAATCATGATTTTTAGAAATATTTACATGAAGATGATTAATAAAGTATATAAGAAGAAAGTGAAGAGAGTTCTTCTTCTTCTTAATTAAAAAATAAATTGAAAATAAATAAGAAAATATATATTAAGATTATGGAGATATTAGTACTCAAAAATAAAATCTGATATAAAATAAATAATATAATCATATAAAAAATCAAGAAAATTCATATATAAAAAATTAAGGACATTCTTTAGTTTAATAATAATAATTAGAAGATTCAATAGTTTTACAAAAAACAATTCTTTTAACCTAAATTAAAAAGAAGACTCTATAAATATATAAGGTGATTAAGAAATTAAAATAATTAATAATAATAATATGCTATCTCTAAGAGAAAAAATGGAAAGAATAATAAATTACAGCTACTAATAATAAAAAGAATTATTAAATGAATAAAAATAAGAAATATAATAATTATAATATCAAGAAGATTTAAAAAAAAAAGAATCTTTACAAAAATAAGAAGAAGATAAAGTAAAAACTCAAGATGATAATCTAAAAAAAACTTAAGAAAATAAAAAAACTTAATAAAATAAAAAAACTGAAGAAAATAAAAAAAAAGAAAATATATTAAATGATTAAAAATTCAAAAATTTACCAGAAAAGAAAAAATAATAAAATAACGTTAGTAATAAACAAAACACTAATAATGCTTTAAACGTCTAAAGTAAATTATTACAAAAAATGCTTCGCGAAATAAACGATGATAGTCTAGTAGATTATACATAAATTATACCTACGTTTAATCATTTATTTTCAGGATATTATAATAATATAGGTAATAATAATTACATATTTAACCTTATGGATCATTTGAGAGATATGTATTCTCTGTTTTTGCAACATGTAGATAAAGTTGACAATGCCGACAAAGGACTTTTACGTTATAAATAAATTATCACTCCTTTAGAAATTTAACCTTCTGAAATATACTACGCAAATGATCCTTAGAAAATAATAGTATATTAGAATAGAGTAGATATAGATATGAGGAAATTTATTGAAAGACAAATAATTTTTATGTAGAGAATGAATGGTGAAAATTTTGCTTAACATTATTTACCTCATGAAGAATTTTACTTTAGGGTAGTTAAGAATAAATAGGAAGTATATGATATTATTAGTAGAGCTTTTATGAGAAAAAAGGAATGGTTTGAACTTCCTCATGGACTTTAATTAAAAACTTCATGGAATTTACTATGGACATGGAGTAAGCCTTAAATAGATTTTAATAAATTATTTTTTTTCCAGAAAGTAAATCATTTCCCTTTCAATAAAAATCTTGTCAGGAAAGATTTGCTTAAAAAAAATTTCGAAAGAATTACTAAACTAGGCCCAAAAGCCTCACATTTGTTTAATATACTTCCTTTAACTTTTGTTTTACCGAAAGAATATTGTTCATTTTCAGAAAAGTTTTTCGAGGAATAATTGAAAGAAGGTGACCTTAATATATGGATAATGAAGCCTGTAGGTAAATCTTAAGGAAGAGGTATTTAATTAATAAATGATATTTCTTAAGTAAATTATGCTGAACCTATTGTCGTTTAGAAATATATGAGAGATCCTTTATTATTGGATGGGTATAAATTCGATATGAGAATTTATGTTTTAGTTACTAATATTAAGCCTTTAGAAGTTTGGGTATATAATGAGGGATTTGCAAGATTGAGTACTGAGAAATATTGTGTTAATTCCTAAAATATAAAAAATAATTAAATGCATTTGACAAATTTTTCTATTTAGAAAAATTTCTATGATGTTAATAATGGGAATAATTATATTGGAGGAACTAAAATTTCCATGAAAATGCTATAATAGAAGTTAAAGATGAAGAATATTGATTGGGGGAAAATATGGAATTAGGTACATGAGATTGTTATTAAGAGTATTTTAGCTTGTAATGTTGATATTCCTAACAACCCGAATTGTTTTGAAATTTTTGGGTATGATATTATTATTGATACGTCTCTAAAATGCTATTTATTAGAAATTAATTCATCTCCTAGCCTTGCCAGAGAATTTATTATTGATGATTTGGTTAAATAGTAAATGATTGATGATGCTATTGATCTTATTCAACCTATCTAGTTTGATAGATAGAGATTATTGGAAGTTTTAGATAGAAGGATAAGAGAAGAATAGGGAAATAAAAGTACGATAAATACTTAAAATAATTCGAAACTTTAATTAAATAGGGATCTTAATTATATTTTAAGGGGGCATAAAATTAGGTAGTTTGGGTAAATACCAGATTTTGTGGGAGGATGGTAAATGGTGGCTCCATCAGAAATGGCAAATAAATATATTAAAATTATTTAATAATATAAAAATCCGGTTGGTTAAAATTATAATAATAATAATAGGTTAGGAAATACTATTGATTGATGTTATTTTTTATAATTTATATATGTTAATTGTTTTTTTTTGTGTTCATTTGTCTTGTAATTTTTATTTTTTATATAAAGCATTATTTTAATTTAAATATTTTTTGATATATGATTTTTTTGTTTCTGTAAATTAAAGATTTTAAATACATATATATATATTTTAATTTTCATATTATCATACATTTTAATATTAATATTAATATTTTTTAATTAAGAAATGTAAAAATAATAATTTTTTTAAATAATATTTATTTTTAAGCAAATCAAAAAAAATATTAATTAAAAATTATTTTTAATTTGTATTCATTAATTATATATTTTTTATTTTATTAAATAATATTTAAGATAAATATAAAAAAGAAAAATGAATTCCAAACAAAGAGATTAAGAAAGAAATGTAAGTCCTTAAAAACAAAATTTATTAGAATAATTAATACAAAAAAACGAAAGACATATAGAACGTTTAAAAATATTAAATGATTAAATAAAAAAGTAAAAACATTTTAATAAAAAAATAAAAAAAATAGTAATTAGAAATAGAATAAAATAAAAATTTGACACAATATTAAGAAATAAAATCATTAAAATAAGAACTTTTTGCATCAAAATAATAAATTTAGCAATTAAAAGATGAAAAAACTGAACAAGAAAAATAAATCTAAGAATTATAAGCAAAATTAACATTAAGAAAATACTAAAAAAAAGATAAGAATGAAAAGAATGAAAAAGACGATGAATTTTGCAAAAGTAGTGAAACATCTATAAATAGTTAAAAATCTGATGAATTAATATAGGATAAATATAAAGAAAAATAAGGAGAAACCCGTGAAAAAACGATTACAATATCAAACAAATACAATCTAGATAAAGGTACATATGCATATATATATATAAATATATATATATATATATATATATATATATTATTTATTTATAAATTTATTTGTATTTAATATAAATTAAATAATAATATAAATATAATAGATATAGAATAAATGAGAGTTTTATCAAGATCTATAGTAGCCAAAAGTTACATTAATGAATGTAAAAATGAATCTTAAGTCCCTAAACTTAGTACTTTTGGAAGAAATAATTTAAAAAAATTAAGTATATTAAGAATTGATAGTTAACTTTTAATACAAGATAATTAATAACATTATAAATAAAATTAAAATAATAATAACGAAAGTACATTAAATGCATAAAAAAGTATTATAAAATAATAGAAACCTAGTATATTTAAATAATAAGCTCAATTAATGTTTATAAAAAAAATTCTATTTAAGTAAATTCTTCTTAGTTTATTGACGGAAGTTTTAATTAAATAAAAGATGAATAATAATAACCATAGTAATAATAATTAAATAGTTTATTATAATTTTAATAATAAGTATTAAGTAATAAAATAAAGTCTTAATAATCTTTAGTTCTTCCACTTTAAGTAAGACCATAATTTAAATTGTTCGAAAAATTTTATGTAATTGGATATGATAAAGAAGATATGAAAGAATTCGATAATAATCCGATTTGTAAAGAAGCACTTTTACCAGGAAAAATTCTATATACATATCCATAAATGAATGAGAAAAATGAGTATAAAATATTTTATATAGTAAAATATTAATATAAATTTAATAAATAAATATAAATATAAATATTTTTATATATATATATTTATATATATTTATATTTATTAATTATACTTATTTACATATTTTTTAATAATTTTATATTTTTTTCAATTATTTAAAATAGTGAAACTTTTAAAGTTGTACATGAATTTGCTTTTCCTTTTGGTATATAAATATAACGAATCACTACTGGAGATATTTTTAGAAAAGTAAAAGAGTAAATTTATATCAATATAATTTTATTTTAATAATTATTAAATATAATTTTAATAAAGAATATTGTTTTCAGGTTCCAAAAATTAATTAATTGATTAATGTTTTGTTTTTACAATGAAAAGTGATAACTATTATAATAATTATACTGAAATTTTAGAATAAGATGATTAAGTTATTAATTAAGTAAATCCTCATAAACTTATTTATTGCTTCTGTATTCAAATTAAAGACTATATAGAATCTGTATTGTATTTTTTTTTTAGAAAATAATATATTTTTCTAAATTAAATATTTTTTATTTTTTATTTTATTTTTTCTTAAAAAATTATAAAAAAGACAAATATTGATTAAAGTTAAATATTCTCAATTGAAAATAAAGAAAAAGAAAATTTTGGAAAGGTTAAAAAGTATTTTGCTATGCAACATATTATCCTTTTTTCGAACTTTTTTAACATCTTTTAATAGATTTAATAAGTACATTTAATATAAAATTAATAAATAAAGAAATAAATAAATAAATTAATAAAAATAATAAAAAATTAAAATAAAAAAAAAAAAAAATATAAATCAGATAATATTAAATTATCAAGAATTGAAACATATAGCTAAAAATCAACAACAGAAGAAAAAATACTATTTGAATTGGACGGAGATTGTATAAAAAATTTAATAATATAATAATACTAAGAAATATTAGAAACCTAAAAAAATATTAAAATTGAAGATTATTAGTATCTTATAACAATTAATACTAATATAGATTAAATAACATATCTAATTCCTAAAAAAGAAGTAATAAATTAAAAAACACATAAATGGAGTTTAGTATTAACTCTATCTAATATTACACTTTAATAAACAATGTAAATATTTAACTTAATTTTGAATGAAAAAACAATAATCTTCGTAAGTAAAAATATCTGCTTATTAACTTAAACAATGTTAAATATATATATATTTAAATTTTATTTTGATAAATAATAATATATTATAAAAAATAGTCACACATTTGAATAATTAATATATCCTTTTTAATGGCCTCATCCTATAATCTATTTATTGCCTGAAACTCTTTTGGACTTATTTGATTCTCCTGTTCCATTAATTCTAGGAATTAATTAGAAATGGGATTATATAGAAACCTTAGGTTGTGTTTAAAAATATAAAGATCATGTGTTTGTAAATTTAGATGAATAAAAAATAATTTGTGGAAATGCTGTTTCAATTAAATTTGCTGAAAATGATATGCCATTTTTAAATAATCTTTATATAAAAATATCTAAATTATATGAATAAATTAATCCAAATGGATTAAAGAAATCATAAAAAATTGATAAAAAAATTTCTCTAATTAATTAAATTTTTAAATCTGATAAATAAAAAAACTAAGATAAAGAAAATGTAGTTAAACTTAAATATAATGCTACTAAACAAGAAGATGAAATGGCAGAATTAATACTTAATATGTTTAATGAAAGCATAAAATAATGTTTTATTGATATTTTTACCATAAGACGATAATACATAAA